CTCCTGTTACCCACTTTCTCTCCTGTTACTCACTTTTCTCTCCTGTTACCTCCCCTCTGCACGTTCATTTTAAAAAATCTTGAACTTTGTTTTTAAAAAGTAAGTGTGGGATTAGCTTCACCTTACTTCTAAAAGGAATAGAAATTCATATGATCACAATGTGTTTGATCTAAGAGTGAGAATCACTAACTGAAACTCTACAATTTTCACTGATTTTTTAATTTGGCACTTTAATCCAAACTAATTTTACGTGGATTGTAAAATTAAAGTGGTATTTTTATACTTTTTGCCTGATGAATAGACCTAATTTCACCATCATATATTGCATTAACCCCCAAAAACTTATTCCAGTAGCACAGCTCTATGATTTCTGTTGGTAACAGGAAAGAACATTTTCCAAGGAAGCTAACACAAAAGTTGCCGTTACGCTCTAATTTGACGGAATACAGCTCTGAAATTGCACATTTATGTCTATAGGTGGTTGATTCATTCCATCAATATTATATCGAAACTTTACATAAAAATTCATTTGAGAATTTAAATGTGACATTTTTTTAATGACCCTGTTCACCCCTTTCGGACCCCAGGTGTAAGCAGTCACAAGCACTGATTATGTAAGGTAACTATTACACTGGTCGAGTCTTTTCGCGGCCAGGAGCCGGTGTCATAATCGAGGTCAGGATCTGATTATTGGACGGTAAAAAGTCGAGGGGAAAAAAAGCAAGCACTCGCGGCAATGAAACAGGTTTGAGTGTTGTGCACAAGTTCCCTCCAACTCTTTTGGTAGACTCTTCCAGCCTCACTTTAAGCTTACAAAGCTTGTGACTGCTTATGGAGTGGCCCGAAAGGGGTGAACAGGTTATTTATGTGGCAATGAAACAGTTTTGAATGTTAGGCATACTGTTTATTAGTGATTATGAACGTCTTTTTACATGTAATTTATGAGGTTTGTACGTCTATGGGTGAATTTGACTGCGACAATGTTTCAAAATTAGGCAGGGAAGCAGTGAGTATTTGATTATACAGACGCGTCGCCACTCTCAGGGGCGGCTCGTCCATAGAGCACGGTCGTGCACTGCCGCCCAAAAATTGTAATACGCTCAACACTCACAAAGAGACAACAAAAGAACCTTGAACATCCATTATCCAATCACTTTTCCATACAAGTTCCTCGCCAGAGCCTAATCTGTCATTAGTGCATGTGTAGCACTCTATTATACCACTTCAAGTTCTCGAGCCTCACCCAAGTAATAAACAGCATGTTCAGTAATGGTAATCTAACTTGAAAAATGCTCGATGGCCTGACCAAATCAACAATGACGTTTAGAATTTAGAGCGAGTTTCGTAGTACATAAATAGTAATAAGACGGCACAATCTAAATGTGCACCAGCCGAAAAAGCCCCATATAATAGAAGCAGTCTAAAAATAACGCGATCTCAGACCAGTTCACCGTAGCTGATACGAGTCAATGCCCGCAGTATGATAGCCTTGGAGCGATCCACTCTCTCTCTCCCTCTCTCTCTCTCTCTCTCTCTCTCTCTCTCTCTCTCTCTCTCTCTCTCTCTTTCTCTCTCTCCCCCCCTCTCAATTCCTATCTCACACGTTTTTAGAGAGAAAACAAACCAAACGGAACTTAAAGCCATACATACTATCTCAGGTTCAAAAGCACTAAGACTTTTTGATTGTATGGAGTCGAGATTAAAAGTGCTACAAAAACAATGTGGGCAAAGTTCTGAAGCGCAATCTTTTTACCTTTGGTCATACGTCTGCGAGCCGAGGGGTAAAAAAATGGGAGCACTGAGAAGTCTGTGACGTCATTACCTGGGAACGCTCTTAACAATTAATTAATGGCTATGTTTTAACCTTCGTGAGTCGTGGAGTCGAGTCAAACAAGTACTTCATGGTTCACACTTCACAACACAAAACCAGATCTTAACACACACCACACAGTTCAACATTCTCAAACCAACACCAAACAGAAACACACATTACCCCCCCCCCCCCCTTAGGGAAGTGCTACTGACCGAAGTGTCTTTATTGGGCCATTCCCAAAGGGGGGAATATTAACGTGGTCGTATGTACAGTAGAATTATAAATGGGCTGATTATTTATCAATGTCATGCTCTTACTGTTCCGGAACAACATACGAGGAACTGCTTGTTCTTTCCTCATCCTTACTATCTTCATTTTTTTCCTCAACTTCTTTTGTATGTTTGTCACTCTCTTGTGAACTGGTATTTCCGGTGTGCCTTGATAGTCGAAGCAGACTTTGTGCTGTTGAAGCTAGAGAGATAAGCAGAGTAAGCCTGATTCCCCGTTTGGACGTCTCTATTGACATCCACCCCTTGGCGGTCATATGACCTTATGCAGTTGCGAGCGCCGTGAAACCTCTACTAAAACAAAACAAACACACATTACATGGTTTACCCTTCTCAACACGAAGCCAGATCTAAACACTAAACACGGGGGGTCTCGTGGTCTAGAGGTTACGGTCTTCGCCTCTCTCTCTCTCTCTCTCTCTCTCTCTCTCTCTCTCTCTCTCTCTCTCTCTCTCTCTCTCTCTCTCTGTGCAGTCTTTCCTCTGCAGTCTTTCCTCTGCTGTTCTTTGGCTCCTTCTTATTGCTGTCTTTCAGCCACACCTTCGATCTTATGGTAGGTTAGAGCTAACACTTAGCCTTCTCGGATAAGGGCGAAAAATATCGGAGGTCCCGTGGGCAAGTTGCGCATTTTAAAGCTCACTTTGTGGTCATAAAATCGATAAAGTATCTAAACGCAAACTATAATATTATGTACATGAATTGCCTTTCTCAACACGAGAGCTGACCAGGTCTGCTGAGGCCTGGATTTAAAATTTCTCTAACATGATCAGATGATTCATGAGGCGAGATCTTTAAGTTTCCCCACCAGTCTCTAACATTAACAGGTCACCTGGGTGTAAAACCTAAGTATATTTTATAAAAACATACCACCCCTAGAAGATTTCACTGGCGGTCCTCCAAGCACAGACCTCATTGTAACCCCCACCCCCCACCCCACCCCGTTATACCGCCAGCCCCTCTTACCACTAGCTTTTGCCGATGTACGGAAGGGAACGCCTTAGATACAAATATAATAATATGTGCGCCTTTACACCGCCATCCTCCAACTGTCGCATGGCCTGGAGAGACTTCAAATTAAACAGAGAGAGAGAGAGAGAGAGAGAGAGAGAGAGAGAGAGAGAGAGAGAGAGACAGAGACAGAGAGACAGAGAATGTTTTACGGGGTAGGTTGTTTCAGCATTACTAATGTCCTGGTCTCGTCTTGTTGTGTGTGCGTGAGTGCGCCTAACCTTTGTAACTTCCCACTGCCATTGTAAACGACCAAGACAAATCTCTACGTATGAGATGAATATACAGACTTCAACAAAAGTTAAGGACCACCTTGACAGACAGCCTTGATTTTTTTTATATCCGAAAAAAAGACGGCAAGGAATGTTTCAAAATCAAAACCACCACGTACAGCACGGACATCCTCGGGGAATTTTAGCAACATTTGCTGTTATCGACTTGTGTGCGACACCACGGACATTCCTCAGTTAAAATTTCTAGTGCACGTCATAAATGGACGTACGGTCTCGAACTGTGCTCACTTTGGTGGCAATAAAAGCTGCTGTTAACTCAAAATCCAGTATCGCATCAAAATGCCACCAAGACGAAAGCTGGAAGACTGTGATGGTGCCACAGCTATGGCATGGCTGCAGGATGGAGTGGGAGCCCGAGAAGTTGCCAGAGGGCTTGCAGTGTCACACTCTCTCATTGTCCGCCTGAGGTAGCGCCATCAAGCCACTGGCTCCATCCAAGAGCACCCACATGCAGGTCGACCCAAGAAGACCACTCAAGGTGTTTGCAACTGGTCCTTTACTTTTGTTGAAGTCTGTATAAGAGATCGTCATTGTCATTACGTCATCGCCTCTGACTGCAAGGTTGCAGGGGACATAGCTGAGCATTTAGAAATATGCACTTTTACAATGATTACTTCCCATTTTAGATCTCCTCGATTCGCTTCTGTTTCGCTCCTTGTGGTGCATGGTTACGTCCCAGTATTTATTATTGACCGTGTTCGTGTTTATTGTTGTGTGGTGGATTCTCTCTGAGTCACAATATTACAATGACACGTAATAAAGGATCATAATGTAGGTCTACAAGAGAGAGGAGCTAGATATTATTCAGACAACAACAATAGAGGGAAACAAAAGCAGTAGAACCCAATATAGTGCCAACTTCTTACCGCAGTTAAATTAATGTGCTTGAGATGAGATTAGAAGACACGTAATTATGTATGTAACATGGAGAATGGAAATATGAAATGGGGCGAAATATTGAGGCTTGTACGAGAGGAACATTTTTAAGAAACTGCAAAGATAGTTAAGAGTATCGAACAAGATAAGAACACGTTGATTTTTCTACTTATACATCATACGAATTGAGAATGTAAATTTTATTTATTGTAATTGTTATATAAAATTACACTGCCCTCTGCATTTACAAGTATTTCAATATCTGTTAGTTCTACAATAGCCAGCAGGAGCTATTGGAAGAGACCTAATTACATGTAGCCAATATCTAATTTTGGATTTCTGTGCAGGAAAAAGCTCTTAAAATGACAGAAATAATGCTATTATGTGATCATAAATAGTTAACATCGGAATTTCAATCAATGATTCGCAGTAAACAGCTTTATGATTCCAAGACCGCAAGAACAGTTAGTATAGAAATTCATCCGCATCAACTGCAGTAAGATTATTGAACACATGGTGCTACAAATGGGAGAGAGAGAGAGAGAGAGAGAGAGAGAGAGAGAGAGAGAGAGAGAGAGAGAGAGAGAGAGAGAGAGAGAGAGCATTGTGTTTGCGTATTTTTGTTTTGCTGTCCTGCGTGTTTTTATTTTGTAAATCTCGTCCATGCCAGGTTTTCTAGACAGGGTAGATAACTCTCAAATGTTATGAATGTAACTCGGGGAGTTTACTTCCTGAATCCTGGACTGATGACTAGTGACTGTGAGCCGATGATGTACAAATTCTATCTATAGTCTATAGTGTTGTTGGTCAATAAATTCAGCATTAATTGCGTAATAACGGCTAAATCTAGGTCTGATTAGAGAGTTTCGTATTGTCATTCTGACTGAGTCTGAGTGGTTCGGTAATTGAAGTGAAAACGCTGCTGAAACGAACTGAAACATGTCTTGGGGAGGACCACCGCAACAACAGCAACAATACGTAAGTGTTGGCGTATAATGAATAATAATGCCGCAATAATAATGATATATGATTATGATGTTCACTTTTTAAAAAATACTTTAATTCGATATTTTTTAGTCGTCCAGCATAGATCTAAACATGTTATTAAGTACAGATTCTAAATAGAAAGACATGACGGTAATATGGGGGAGGAATTCCATATCAAGCGCCCACTATATAAAACAGTAGAATAGAATCTGAGTAAAAGTAGAGAATCTATTTACAGTGTTTTGTGTAGGGGTCGGGTACGAGTATGGCATGGGTATGGATAAAGGTAGGCACTCTTCGGGAGAAGTGGTCCCGGCCTAACTTTATAGACTCATAGACATTTATATATAGATCTATGCAAAATTGGAAACAAAAACGGAAGTCGAGTAAAAAAAATTGAACTGAGTTGCCTGCCGAACCTATTTGAGACTAGAATCTAGATCTGTTTTCGGCACTATTCTGATTTCTAACGTTTTTTTAGTGTGCTGTGAACAATTTTGGCACTGAAAACTGCCACAAACCATTACTTTGTGAATTTAACAGGGGGGAGACCTCCCTGCACCCCCCTTTTTTTTAAAGGCAACTTACGGTTTTGTTTCCGATTGTGTACATTCTGTATAAATGTCTATGGAGTTAAGCAGGGACCACTTCTCCCGAAGAGTCCCTAAAGATAATTTTATAGAACCACTCCTGCCTCACAAAGGATGTTATTTGTAGCTTTTTCTGTGTATTTTTAGGGCCCTGAACACGATTTTGGCATTATAAAATGTGGCAAACGGTACCCCCTTCTACAAAAGCATGCATAAACCAAAAAAAGCCAAACTGGTATGGATAGCAGCCAAGAGACGGGAGTGGTTCTATAAAAATACATGGATAAATAAGGGTAGGGGTTGAGTTAGTGTTAGGTCTCTTTTTTGTGTTTGTTGGGGTGCTCGTTGCGGAAGTAAGTTCCAAATTGGGGTCTAAAAATATTGTAGATCTACATTGGACATCAGATTCAATTCGGGTCATATTATTTTACTTTCACTTCTTCAGACTTCAACTATAAAATAATAAAATCATTAAATGTGTCATATAGTGAAATCAGGCACTCGTCAGTTTTTGGGCATGTATGTAGAGTAATTGATATATCATCTGAAAGCTTATTTATTTTTGCCTTGCTTTCAATGAAAAAAGTATCCATCTAGCTTGAATAGAGGTTTTTGAGACATTTGTGATTGAAGAAGGTTGGATAGCCTGGTTTCAGTTTTTAAATTTTTAATGAGAAAATGGTCGCCAAAGTTTAGTAACTTAAATAGCCAGTCGGTTGAAAGTGATGTTCGGCAACAGTCTGCATTAAGTATTGTATGTCAACTGGCTGTATATGTGACCAAACGACTTACATTTACGTCTAAGTTTTTGTTTTTTGTTCCTTCTTCTTCGATAAAAACAATAATGAATAATAAATATGACCCAATCTCATTTTTATGGGGGGGTTTTAAGTCTCATTTCTAATTTGGTTGTATAAAATGAGTGCGTTAGAAAGAGAGTTACTTGAAATTTTATTATGCGTTAAATTCTCAGAACCTTTAACGATTCCTTCCCTGTCCCCAGGGCGGATACGGTCAGGGCGGGTATGGCCAGCAGAGACCAGGGGCCCCGGCATATGGACAGCCCCCTGCCGGTCAGTACGGGGCGCCACCTGGCGGCCAAGGGGGTACTTACGGACAACAGCAAGGGTACGGGGGGGCTCCAGCCTACCGGGGACCCCCGCCAGCACAAGGGGGACAGTACGGCGGACAAAGGCCAGCTTATGGAGGGGCCCCACCGGCTCATGCTCAAGGATACGGGGCCCCACCGGGGCAGACTCAGGGATATGGTGGGGCTCCGCCGGGCCAAGGGTATGGAGGAGCTCCACCACAAGGTCAAGGATATGGGGGAGCCCCACCACCGGGCCAGCAGGGATATGGAGGTGCCCCACCATACCAGGGGCCTCCTGGGGGTTACGGCGGGGGTCAAGGCGGCTACTCAGCACCAGCGCCACCTGGTGTCAACCCAGAGCTGTGGACGTGGTTTCAGGTGAGTTGACCTTGGCCATAAACTCTGGAATGTGAGTAATACAGAAGCACACATTGACTCAATAATTATCGTTTAGTGCCGGGAAGAAATTCGACACAAGAAATAAAAGAGAGAGAGAGAAAAGTATATTAAGCAAATGATATGAATGAACAAATTACAGTCCTTCATCAATGGTTGCCTGAGAAAGATCATGAAGTTTTACAAGCTGGACACCATCAGAAATATTGTATTTGGAGCCAAACTGAACGAAAAACCAAATGACTGTGAAAAAAGAAATAAAGAAATTCAAGTTAGTTTATGAGTTCAGTGCACAAGAGGCGAAACAAAATCTTTGCATCTTTCTGACACTTGGTAGGTGTTCCTTAGGGGTCTGTTTCATCATAGTTTTTGCATGTGAGAATGTGTGTGAGTTTAGAAGTTGTGTTTGTATGTGTGTGTGTAAATAGGTCTAGAAGTTGTGTTTGTATGTGTGTGTGTGTTGCTAAATAGTCTCACTATATACATTTTCTGCCTTTTATTTTACTTTTAATTTCTGAGTTGCTGCTGTGTAACTACTTCTCACTATATACTTACCAACCTACTTGCATCTCAATCTTGATTTAAATGTGGGTGGTTGGCGGGTGCTCTGGGGTGGTTTGCTCCTTTTTTCCTATCAGACATATATTGTCCTTATCTCTCCTCGTTCTTTTTTGTGTATGTTACTCTCTTGTAACACATCTTTTCTTTGGCACTTACATGACCTTATTGTGATGCAAGTGCTGTAAAACTATTACTAAAACTAAAACTAAAAATCTTGATTATATATATAGATGTGATAATGACTTCCTGCTGTGATTGTATCCAGTCAGTAGACGCTGACCGCTCAGGGCAGATCACGGCCATAGAGCTCCAACAGGCTTTGATGAATGGTAACTGGTCACCGTTCAACCCAGAGACCTGCAGGCTCATGATCGGCATGTTTGATAAAGACAGGTGAGAAGTGATGGGCGTGTTTGATAAAGACAGGTGAGAAATGATGGGCATGTTTGATAAATACAGGTGAGAAGTGATGGGCATGTTTGATAAAGACAGGTGAGAAATGATGGGCATGTTTGATAAAGACAGATGAGAAATGATGGGCATGTTTGATTTGATAAAAATGATGGGCATGTTTGATAAAGACAGGTGAGAAGTGATGGGCATGTTTGATAAAGACTGGTGAGAAATGATGGGCATGTTTAATTTGATAAAAATGATGGGCATGTTTGATAAAGACAGGTGAGAAATGATTGGCATGTTTGATAAAAATGATTGGCATGTTTGAAAGAGACAGGTGAGAAGTGATGGGCATGTTTGATAAAGATAGGTGAGAAATGATTGGCATGTTTGATAAAGACAGATAAGAGACACATCAGAGACCTGAGTTCCACAAACCTGTAACCGTGTGGTTAAGTGGGTGGGAAGTCACTTTTTTTTACAAAATGTTATTTCTTATTGAACAAAGAGTATGTTGTTTTTTATCTGTGCAGTTTGTTGTTTCTGTACATAAATCTCTTTGGTCAACATTAGAAGCTAATTTTGTAATTTTGTTTGCCAGACTCTTTTTGTGAGCCAAATTTTTATTTAGCCTGTGGTCTATACTGAAGAATCTGCACTACTACGTCTATCAACAGCAAGATTATGGGAAGTTTTACACTGACAAACAGTTCCTACATACACAAAAAAAAGCATTGAAATACACAGAACACAGTTTATATGTGCTTTTTTCATCCTCTTTGCTCAGAACTGTTCATACATGACCACTTCTCAGCTACGTTTCTAAAAGAAAAAAACTAGGTGAGGGATCATACTATTTTCTTGTTTGCTTTTTTTTGTGTTGACAGAAATGGCACAATTAACGCCCATGAGTTTGCTGCCCTGTGGAAATACATACAGGACTGGAAGGCTTGTTTCGACAGGTACGGGAAAGGGGCGCGCCCTTTTTTTCTTTTAGAAGTAATACTCCTTTTTCAGCTGTTGAAAGAGATTTTTCTTTGTTTGATGCATGCTTTGTAGTAACTTTTGATTACTGTTATAGTACAAGATTGCACTTATATTGCACATATCTCAACAAGAAAGTAGGTTGTATGCACTTTACAATATATTATTACCCTGACAGACTCTAAAACTCTGAAAATTTTCAGATTCCTACAACTATTTTTATACTTCCAGGCACACTGTGATCAGAACTTACTTTATTGTATGTTCAGCCAACCCACTGGATGTAAAAACTCAAAAATAACTCTATCTGATTTTGTTTTGAGAAATGTTAGTAAAAGTTTGTTGTGATACATACTGAAAGAGCTTCTGGTCTGAATGTTATTGTTCATCAGGTTTGACACAGACAGATCGGGAAACATTGACGCTAACGAACTGGGAAACGCATTCCAGACCTTCGGCTACAGATTGTGAGTCGTCATCATTTCTTTTGTGGTTTTTTTTTTATTGATGTGTTAGAGGTTTGTTTTTGTTGTTGTAGTTATTGATTCTACTTATAATGTGTGTTTTACTTTTGTCCAGTTCCGTGTAGCCGTACCAGTATGTGCAGGTTTTTTAATATTTCTGTTTTATACCTTTACATGTGACCAGTGTCTGTTCTTAATATAGAAATCTCTCATCAAGATTAGAGAAAATAAAATGAACTTTATTGTTCCAAGAGGGGAATTTCCGATGGATATACCAGAACATCAAAATACTAAGATTCAACGTCAATAAGGAAATGCATTCATTACATTCATGTTCAATGATACACATACAATGATGCACAACTCGGTCACATAAACATACTCAAGCAGTATTATGGGCATGAACTCTCTCTATTTCTTCCGCTCTCTGTCTCTCTCTCTGTCCCTCTGTCTTTGTCTCTCACTGCCTCTCTCTCTCTCACGCACACACTCACAAACACACACATACACACATGCCATGCCACACACAAACAGACAGACAGTCAGACACATACACTCATAGTCTTCTTTCTGTCTCTTATAAGCATCAGTGATACTCACACACTGCTTAGTCACACACGTGGGTGGTTGGCAGGTGCTCTGGTGTGGTTTGCTCCTTCTTTCCTATCAAACATCTATCGTCCTTATCTCCCCTTCTTTTTCATGTTCGTTACTTTCTTGTAACACCTCTAATCTTCTGGCGCTCATATGACCTTATGCAGTTGCGAGCGCCGTAAAACCTCTACTTAAATTAAAAATTCACACACTCAAAGATCACGCTATATCCACCATCATGAGCTGACTGTGTGTTTGTGTGTCGCGTCTTCTCCATCCAGGTCCCCTCAGTTCAGCCAGACCGTGGTCCGTGTGTTTGATCGTAGACGTGGAGGGCGCAGCATCAACTTTGACGACTTTATCCAAGCGTGTGTGATGCTCAAATCGCTGACTGACAAATTCAGGGTGAAGGACTCACAACAGAATGGTTCCATCAATATTTCTTACGAGGAGGTCAGTATTTAGATTGGAGTATGCTTGTTTCTGAATCTTTATTTGATTTCATCTATGTGTAAATTGTGCAAGTGTGCAGTTGGCCTTGGAGTGACAGGAAAATAATAGTAATGTTTTGACTTTTGAAACTACACATTCATATATTGATTTTTGTCTTAAGCTGTGTTTTCATCCCAAGTTTAAAATGGGAAGCACTTGCAAGAGACCTAGTTATTTTGTACAGCTTCTGGGTTTTTCCAGATTTATGTATATTTCATTCTTTTATTATTTTGTCCCTTCTCAGTTTTTGGAGATGGTGTTGGACACAACTCTGATCAAGTAACTGAAGAGAACATTAGAGGACAACGATGGACGCTGTGTATCAAGTGGTGTTTTCGAATGCCTCAATCTGGCCGCAGCATGCTGCAACCTAGGGCAATATGTACTCAGCCGTTGGGCGCGAGGCTCTTCTGCTTTCTTCATGCCCGTCAAATTGATGTAAGAGTAATTTCAAAACCATGAATGTTGAAGAAAGTGGGAGTTGTAAGCAATATTTACAATTCTTTTCTTTTTTTTTGGGCGGTGTGACATATGTACTGGTGTGTGGAGAACTTTCAAGTCGAAACATTTTTTTTTCAAGATAATAAGCAATCAGTTTTAATATGATAAACTCTTTTTAAGATATAGAGTACAGTGATATACCGATATTGGGACTCTGCTATATAACTGCTTCAGAGTCATGTTTGATCTAAATTATGCCGATGGGGGTGTAAATTTTTCACAATCATTCATTGCAACCAACCAAGAGCCATATTTTCATCTCTAACTTGTGTTGATGGGGACCTAAAACTTTTTCATCAATAATTACATTCAATCAACAGCGATGTATAGATGTCAACACCAACGGTAGAGTGTATTTTTAGAACCGCATCTGTCTAGAGAGCAGGTACATGTGACCACCAAGAAAAAGCTGCTGGTTGTAGATGTCCACAAGAAGTGGGGAGAACATCCTATATCCTACTCTATTTTTCTTCATCAAAGAGCCCTTTCTAGTGGGTGGGGACACCATTAGTTTAGCTCAGCGGTACCTCACAAACTATGGTGCAGATGACCCTGATTCGAATCCCCAGTGAGGCGTTTGTGAACTTGAGTAGTCTGGTCTGGGAAGTGTTTAAGGTCCTCCACCCATTTGCTCAATCCTGTCAGAGATGGACGTAAAATTTGGAGGTCTTACGGCTTAAATAACTTACAATGTTGAAAGTGACATTAAACCCGTACTGGTACAGTTCATTTTGTTATGTCCAGGAGTGGAGCTGAAATCTCTCACTCACATGTCTCTTGGACCGCTCTCTTGTGACTCTCAGATATGCTCTCGGTTTGTTTGTTTTTTGTATACACTGTATAGGACTGGAAATCGCCAGAGGTATCATTTAGCAGTGTTTGGATGAAAAGAGCATAATACATTTTTTCCTCATCATTTAATTGCTTTGAAAAGTCGAGTCCTCCACTGGAAACAAATAGAGTACTTGAATGTTTTAATACATTGCACAAGATAAATATCGCTGAAAATGTTGTTGTTGTTGAGAATGAAATGAAAAATTAATGAAAAAAATTTCTGCTCTTGTTGTAGCAGGAGAAATCATGAACTTCTCATGTATAGGGGACCTGTTGTATGGTGAAACAGTTGGTAATTGATACACATACAGGCACACACATGTACACACAGGCACGTACACACACACATTCACATGCACATATGATGCACACATACACACACGCACAAACACACAGACGCACATGCACGCACACAAACACATATGCACGCATAAATTATACACGTACACTCACACACACACACCTACACAGCATGGCAGAATGCTGAGACCTGTGTACATCTCCTAATCTCTGTTGTACCTATCAAATGCCCCTGTGGGTGTCAGTTGATTGGGCTAATGATGTATGCGTTATCAGTATCAAGTGGACATTGTTGTTAGAAAGATATAAGATAAAGGTGTTGTTTTGGGTTTTTTTTACAAATGTGTCACGGCGTGGTGGAATCGGGCGCTCCTTAATTTTTGGGCATGTGGAGTTATTGGTATCATCTGAAAGCTGATTTATTTGCCTTGTTTCCAATGAAATAAATATCCATTTATCTTGGATAGAACTCGACATATTTGCGATCGAAGGAAGTGGGGTCGCCTGGTTTCAATGGTGAAATTAGCGAGAAAATGGCCGCTAAAGTTTGGTAACTCCAATAGCTAAAGAGTCTTTGAAACTGAAAAATGAAATATTTTGTGCTTTTAACTCAATGTTTTTCAGTAAAAAATTCACCCACAAATGTGTTTTCATATGGACATAAAAGAGGTTAAGCCAAAAAATAAAATGTTGATAGAAATGTCCATACTGGCAGAAAAATGCCTGTTTCTCTGATTTTGCTATTTTGACAAGCGCCTGATTTCACCACACTGCCTCACAATTATTATACTACAGAAGTGGTAAATGAGTCATGGGTGTTTTCTGTGTTCTTTTGTGAGCTACAAATTTTCAGTTTAAAACTTCTATTGTTAACTACTGTTGGTGTTTTCACACATGCCTGTGTTAATTTACACTTTTTTCATATTGTTTTCCTTGTTTTTGCCTTACACTGACTTGCTTCCCTTCACTTTGCTTCGCCCTTTTGGTCTCTGTGCGTTTCTTATTATATTCAAACATATATACTTCTCATTTTTCAATAAAATATTGCATACAATTTGCATAATTCATTTCGCTTTTTCTAAACCCCCATCCATTCTAGTGGAAACCTTTTACCCTTAGCTTGAGTAATTCATTATATTTCTAACTGTTTTTTCGTGGGTGTTCTTGAGTGGTTTTTCTCTTTCTTTCCTATCAAACATCTGTCATCCTTATCTCTCCTCCTTCTTGTTTTGTGTTTGTTAGTCTCTTGTAACACCTCTAATCTTCAGCACTTTTATTACCTTATTGTGTTACAAGTATCGTAAAACTCTTGCTAAAACTAAACTAAAAATCTACATAGTTCCCACCCGCTCTCCTTGAAAATAATGTGAGATGGCTGTTGTGTCAATAGCTAGGTAGTTAAGTGAGATTGCTGCTGTGTTAGTTGCTGGGTCACTTGGTCCATTGTTAAGCAGCTGATGGGTGTGGAGTTTGATCCTCTGGATGTTTGTTTCTATGAAGTGGGTGTGTTTGGGTGTGTTAATCATGATCTGATAGAAAAATTGTTGTTGTCCATTTTTTTTTAGCTTGATTGCTGTCTCCAAATGTAGAAAGTAAATGCTTTTTGTTTGTGTTTCATAACTTTTAACAGTTTCGTATATATGTATATATATTTACATGTACACGCATGCAGGTGTGTATGTGAGTGTGTTGTAAACAATGTGTTTTTCCAGTCTCATAATGGTTGTGTGTGTGTGTGTGTTTGCATAAGCGTGCATATGTGCTTATTAACGTGTTGTGAACTAAAGGAGCTTTTTATCAGAGCGGAATATTAAGTAACGAGAACTTTTCAAGAAATCAGCCGTTTTTCAAGACTGTTTTTCTTTGGCTCTTAAAGAGAAAAAGTAAAACCTGGGACACCTAATTTTGTCTGAGACTTGTCAATCGTACGTTTCGTTGTTTCTCCCATATGCAGTGGCACCTAACAAGATGGATGTTCATATCTGTTCTCTGTGAAATTTGAAGTAATCTCATTTTACGTATTCAGCCACACCAGTCAAAGACGGCCACCCATTGTGTAAGAGTAAGAGAAAAGTGGCCATCCTATACAGGTGGCCATCATAGGCAGGACTGATCGAAATGAAGAACACCTACCATTCCCTTTCAATTGAGGTTCCAACCGGAGGAAGTTACAGGCTCAGGATTTCCGTACGGCCCATTAAAATAAGTTTTGTCTTTCTTTAGAAGGGAGGTTGAAAAGGGAAGTTTTGGACTTCTGTAAGTGTTAAATTCTACCAAGTGTATCAGTATCTGATGAGGAAGACTATACTGTGCAAGGGTAAAACAAAGGGAAATCTGTTAGACAAAGAAAGACTGAGTGCCATGGTAAAACAAACAAATGGGCTGCCGCCACTCAGTGAATAAGCTGCACTTCTGGGGAAAGTTCAATGTATTAATGTCCATTGTTACTGACTGGGTAAGCAGAGGGACTGCTCATCAACTGTGGGTGGTTGGCGGGTGCTCTGGTGTGGTTTGCTTCTTACCTATGAAACATCTATCGTCCTTATCTCCAATTCTTCTTTATGTTTGTTACTCTCTTGTAACACCTCTAATCTTCTTGCGCTCATATAACATTATGCAGTTGCGAGCGCCGTAAAACCTCTACTAAAACTAAAACTAAAGACTGCTCATCTCACTTATGGTTCGTTTGGGTCAGAGTTGTGGGCTGGGCTCCTAGATTATGGCGGTTTATGCACCTCCCTCAACAAGACCTGAAAATTTTTTCCTGACTGGTCAAACTGTGTAAGCATGATCCGTTCATTCCTTGGAATTGGAGGAACTAACATTCTAACAATAACCGGCAGATGAATGGACTGTGACAGCTTGTCCAAAGCATCGGGATCAGATATTTATAATATAATCTAGGTAACATGTCGGGCGATGAGAGATTTGCATAGACATCTTATCTTAGACAGGTTTTTTTCCGACTTTTAATTGATGAAATATAGTGGTCGCAGCAGTGTTGGGCAGGTATTTTACGCTGTGCTTTTACATAGAAAAAAAAACTGCAAGGGGGGACTGGAAAGTGCCCATTTGTACAGGTGGCCATATTATAAAGGTGGTCGTCTTGGCAGGTTTGGCTGTACATTTGTACCTGTACTTTTTTCTGTGTAAAACATATCATGTACGCCTACTGTTGATTGTTGATACAGGTTAACATATTATTTGTGTTTGTGTCCTATATGCAGAGTGAATATAACACTAAGAAATATATCTGATATTATGTCTTTTGTATGTGTGTTTAGTTGATTTTTTAATAGAAATTATAATCTTTTTTCAATTGGGTCTTCAACTTTTTTTATTTGTTCAGATAAAAAGTGTATTTTATCTGTGAGTGGCTCCCAATCAGATGATGTGACTTTTCTACTTTTTTCCTATCTGTAGACAGGAGAACCTTTATGAACTTGACATTGAAAAGTTTGGGGGGTTTTTTAAATCTGGAAGCCTCTTAAACCTCTTCAAGGGAAATTTCTAATACTTGTGACTAATCGTAGCTGAAATTCTAAGTTTCATTTCTGTGTGTTCTGTCAAGAGTCTGGCTCTTGGGGGGGGGGGGGGTTGTTGTGCGTGTGTGTACTTCAAATATTTTTTTAATGACTTACCGAGTCTCTGTGGTTGTGACACACTCATGTACAAACTTTTGACACGCCCCCAGCCTGGTGGTACAGTACAGTCGCAGCTGAGAGCTGTGCTAAAATAGTTTTGGGCAGACTCATTGTCCATTGGGAACCTTGTTATGTTACACACTTCAAAACGAGATTTCATCACCGATCGTTACTCATTTTCAAATTCATCCGGTAGTTGTCTTTTACGTGTAAGTCTCACACTGCGGTTTGACGGAAGTTCCAGTATTGTCGGGCTGAGTCGTCTGAAAGCAGGATCAACAGCAGCGGACATTTGAAGAGCTATAGAAAAGGTTGAAAAGAAAAACTAGAAGAAACAAAAGATTTGATATTGAATATTCAGAATCAGATGCAGACGCTGATATAGCCTTGTGAGCCATTTGTGTCTATTCTGTGTGGCATCATGGTGCCGCTGTTCTTGTTTTAGCTTCAAGTAATCGTATATCTACGTCGGTTATCGAGTGATTAGACTCCTTGTCCCCAGGAACAGAAGGCATAAGTTCCTTTCAGAGTTGGCCCTGATATGTAGTGTCAAAACAGCCTGCTTCCTAAAGCACAGGAGTTGTGTAAAACAGCAGCAACCATTCAAGTATTATACTCACCTGTCTCTACTTGTTTGTTTTTTTACATTTGTAGTGCCCGTTATTTAAGGCTGCTGGAGTTTCTGCTGGGTCGCTCTCTCTCTTGTCTCTCTGTGTTCATGTACCCAAATTAACTCTCTCTCTCTCTCTCTGTCTCTGTTTCTCTCTCTCTCTCTCTCTCTCTCTCTCTCTCTCTCTCTCTCTCTCTCTCTTTCTCTCTCTCTCACTCTCTCCGTGTGTTCATGTACTCAAAGTAACTGCTGGGATTTCATGCATACTCGTCCAAACATAAGTAATTCCTCAGGACTTGACCATGTGGAGTTTAGTTTTGAGAAGATGGAGGTCATTATTTTCCCAATCAAAGCATACCGTTTCAAACTGCTCTGCTACCTCATCATTCTGGCCATGTGCATCTTGACAAATAAAAAGGACCCAATTTTTACATTTCTATTTCCTTGAGTCAATCAAGATATCCTGAGCTGCACGAAAAAGGCATGAAAAGAGACTTGGATTATTCTCTATCTGGCGTCAATTTTTGTCAATATTATTTTGTTTTTTCTGAGATAATGAGAAACTATTCATCTCGTGGTGCTGTGGTATGAATGCACTTTGTGCGTAACTGGCTGCAACTGCAACACTGTTGTTCAACTTAGCAACACTG